GTTTAATAGGTATTGCATGATTGGTGGGCAGGGTCAAAAAGGGATTATTATAATGACATGGCACCTCGGAACTAAGTGTTAACCCTTTTTTGAGAAATCATGCTCAAGTATATGAACCCAAATTGCATATTAAATAAGTTTACAAGAACCACTAAAATTAATCTTAATCTTTTTTTAAGAAATTTTACTTACCTAAATACATGTAGGTACTTAGTTTTAGACCAAATTACTTCCCAAAAATGGCCTTTTATTATTATCTATGTCTGTAATTTTTAATTTACTTTAATTATTAAGTTTAATAATCCTAAGATTTGCCTACGCCCATGGACGACAACGAAATTCAGGCAAATTTTATGACACTTCATGATTTATTACTCTACACTCTTTTGAAATAGACTATAGTTATTGTCACTAATCATAATAAGCATCTACTGTTTCTTGGTAGACAATAAACTGAATTGAATTGTTCATAATGTTCATGTTTGAAAGTGATTGTTTCAATTGGATTTTTCTTCCATAAAACTTCTATTCATGATGTACATTTCTTTATGAATAGTTTTTATTGTAGTTATTTTCTATCTTCCTTTCTTCATAAGTTTCTCACATTTTTTGTAATGTTGGAAAGAAATAGAAAGCCAGAGGCTGTTTTCCCCAAAAACTTACTGTTCTTAAAAAAATATTTCATTTTCCAATCAAAATGTAAATAATCAAAACTGCAAGACTAAAATTGATAACATTCTCGGAGTTCTCGTTTCTATTTTTTGATAATTCCTGTTGGTGGCTGGATTGCTGTACTTTTAACATATGAATAACGTCAATGAAAACTTTCAATAAAGAAATGACCATCCAATGGGCATTTTGGTATAATATTTTTATTATTCATAATGGAGTTATTTATAATTAATAATGGCACTTTATTTACAGTGGACTTTGGCCACTAATTTTCAAGATTTTTATAAAAATACTGAAATCTATAACATTCATTATTCATACAAGGTGACAACAATATTATTGTACATTCAGTTGTTTGTAGGGTAAAAAATTGATATTCAGAAGAAAGGTGTAATAGTTCATCGAAACCGATATTACTACTGAAATCAAAAATTCTATCTTTCAGTAGTATGTAAAATGGTCAAATGAAGTACTCTACACCATACTCTATCAATAATTTCAGTATTTCACTTGCATAAATAATTAAAGAGTTAACTTCATGTAGAGAAAGAAAAAGAGCAGCATTCCTAAAGCCAACAACATGCTGTACATCAACCTGCCACATTTCCAAAGTATAACATATATTTTATGTGAAGGTTAAACCAGTTCCGGAACCGACTCCGGTGGCCGTCATTTCTTCCCCAAGTCCCCCCGTTCAGGCGGTCGTCGCCCCCGTCAAAGAAAATCAAATTTCAGAGAAAAAGACGCAGCAGAAAAAAGACTCCAAGGCCGAACAAAAAGCAGCAAAGAGCGTCGAAAAATTCGAACCGCCACCGCCGGCGGCAGTTGCCGCCGTTCCCGTTCCTGCGCCCGTGCAACAGTTACCAACGCCCCCCGCTCAAGACGTTAATGTCAATAGTGGTGAGTACTCTTTACATCATTTCTTTTGAAATATTTCAAATTGAATTTGCAACATTTGTCTGTCTTTGATGTACTTTCCTAGTTAGTGTCACGAAGGATATTCGATAGATATATTTCAAAGAGGTTAGACTATTCAGGTTTAATCTGTCATCGATGGCATATCGGAATCAGTCTATAGATGACCACTTGATTAATTTCAGTCAGGTTTTGTTTCTTTACCCAAATAATCATAGTATTTGGTGAACTACCCAAGAAATTCCCGTCATTTATGGTTTTCAGTCCCCTGAAATTGAAGACTTTCAAATTAATTGATTTATTTATTTAGTACCAGTACTATGTTGCTGTAACGCTGCTGTTCCAATGTTTTGACAGAATCAGAATCAACGAACTTTGGCGTGCGCAGCGTTATAGAACACTCATTTCAAAAAATTGTTCTACAGCGCCATCTAGTAGCGAGTTACAGAAAAATTGATAGCCTAAATACCTCTATGAAAAATTACTTATACATGTCAAGTTTCATCACGATCGGTTGAGCGATGTAGAAGTTTATCACTTACTAACCAACTAACAATCATCCATTTTATATAACAATTCATTCAAAATTACACCTAACTAAAAATTATTGTCAACAAATCTACTAAGTTTGCATTTCAAAAACGTTGGAACCCATAGATAGTTGCCATAAACACAAATAAAAAAAGCCTTCAAAAAAACATTTTCATAAATGTTTTGAGTGCACTTTCAGTTATGATAAAAATATTGAAGCCTTGTTTGAAAAATTCATTGTCAATTGTCAGCATTTGTAAAAAAAAAAATGATAAAAGCTATAATTTGTGCTATATCGTATTATTGAAGTTTTATTCCAACACCAAACACATCGCAAGTGTTTCAATCACCAAGTGACCATCTTCAAGAAGAAGATTAAACCAAATCTACATGTTTTGCATTGCAGTCCTTACATTTAATTTCGTAAGTTCCAGACTTTTCAAAATTCTCAACTTTGTTCTTTGGATTTTCTAAAAGATACTGTAGTGTATGACTTGTTTTGAATACCACCTTCACACCTAGTTCCTTGAAAATCTTACCAAAATTATTTGTGTATTCATTGGTGGTATGGAACTGAGTTATATTCATCTTGGTTTTTGTCTTTTCTAAAAGTCGAGATTTTGTTAATTCTTAAACTAAATGTTTTCTTCCTTATAATATCATCTACAATACCCCTCAAGAAACCGTTACTTTGAATAATTCAATATTAATAAATTGATGGATGTAGCCGTTACTACGACATCATGAAAAATGAAACTTTTTATGTTTTTACCACTTTTATTTGTAACTAACGTTACTGCAGTTTCGATCTATAAAGACATTTTCAAATTTAATGTATAAGGGCATTTTCAAACTCATATATCAAGTATAGTTTAATGTATAAGTTTGAAAATGTCCTTATAGGACGAAACTGCAGTAATGTTAGTTACAAATAAAACTGGTTAAAACATACAAAGTTTAATTTCTCATGTTTCATGAATTCAATATTATCCGTTATCCTGGTTGGTACTCTAAAGCTCCTAAAGGTCTGGAGAGAAAATATCATTATTGATTAGTTTGAACAGTGTTATGAGATTGAATCTAACTTTTCGATTCTGTAGTGTCGGCATATTTAGAAAGGTCAAACCTTTCTCATAGGTATAATCACCAATGTGCAATGACAGTTACATTATTCATAAAAAAATCTGCACCATATAGAGAACTTAATTAAAAATTCTAAATTTAATAATTCAATTGAATTGTCTATAATCTAAAATGCAACAGTCATAATGCATATTTTGGTATGCATTATGGACATCTCATCTTGATACAGTCTTCAGACTGGTTTTGGTTTCTGTCGAAACTATTGGTACATGGGATGTTTCTTCCCCGCTTGGGTCTTCGTTCATGAGATGGAGATGTTAATAGTTAACAATATTTCTCTTAGATAAAGGTTTCATACATGCAGCGTAGCCGTGTTGAAATTAATCGAATCCCAGGCACATTCATGTTTAGGTCGGATCTTTCCTGCACTAAACAGAGGTAATACCTTGAAACCGGTCTGTAGGTGATCTACTCGATTGATTTCATCATGGTCCTGCTGCTGGATGAAAGAGAACATCTAGTACTGTGAGATATCTTGTATAAATGTCTGTCAGATATAATTCAATATCCACCATGGTACTAGCCGGAAAAGTAGTGTTTTTCCGGCAGGCATTTACCAGGTAAGTTGGAAGATATGTTTTGAGGTTTTCTTTCGAAATATTTATTTTCTTATAAGGTTTTCAACTACATTTTATTAAAATTTTTAGAACTTTTGATTTTTTAGATATAACTGTTTAATCCTTCTTTAAGCCACATGAAAAAACCTTTCTATTGTAACTTCGAAACTCTTAACTGCCTCAGGTAATGTCTCCTCCAGCTACAAATTTCATCATTTTTGATTAAGAGCGGTTTTCAGTTTTGTTTTTTCCTGAAATTTAACTCCTTGAAAGTTTTCTTCAATTTATTTCTTCTTATCATTGAAGACATACTTTGGTCTTCTTTCAAGGCTACCATTTGTTTGTCGTGAGTCAATACTTGTACAAAAAAATGTATTGACTGTACTGTTTTTATGATGACAAGTTTTTAGTTTTCGTCAACAGGCACAGTTTTCCTTCCTAAACATGGTTTTGGTGGTTTAATAGCTTCATTTTTCTCTCATTCTTGAATTTATATAGAGTTTACTGTATGTGAGTGGGTTCCAGTCGCTTTCTCAGTGCTCTACTCCAAAAACAGGAAATTTCACAGAAAACTGCAAGAGGCATTTTTTTTAAATAACTTCACGAAGAATAATATTTACAATGATCTATCTCTATTGACCTCCGAGCAATGTCGATTTTTTACATCTTCATCACAACGCCGTGATAAAGGTGTATACAAAAATTCAGCTCACTAGGAATTTTTTTGCAGATTAGGGTTCAAAACGCCTAAAATGACTGGACTAGTGAGCTGTAATACATTAAAGTGTTTTCATAGAAAGTACTGAAAATTTTAATGGAAATTCGAAAGTAAAAACAATTTTGGTTTTTTCATTTTAAAAAAATCTAATAATTATGAATGCGAGTGTTCCATATTTTTGTTACTCGCCGTATACATAATTGGAACTATAAAAAGTCTTTTGCGATTTGTTATATAATCATACAACATTGAATGTTCAAAATATATACTTCATTTTATACATAGTGGTCATACAATTTTTATGAGGGAACCACTACCACTACCTGTGTCCTTAAATTAGTGAAAAAGACAGAGAATATTTTCCTCTGTGACAAAGAATACGTTCAAATTCCGCTTCCATTTTAAGACGTCACATGTAAATGCAGTGTCCCGACTTTTTGGTATTTACCAAAGGATGGAATAAGTCCATTACTCACTCATTTCGCATATTTAAATTTAATATCCCAGATAGATCTATCTGCGACCGACCGAACATTCTAGTAGTCCCAGAACAAATTTAGATTTTGGTAAAAGTAATAAACCTTTGCACTTTGCAAGGAAAGTTCATAAACAACGGATGTGCCGGTCATTCTGTCTACCTACTTTGTTTATTAGTGTTTCCCGTTTGTTACCTTTATGGTCGGTGTACAACCGAAATCTGAAATATTCCTCCATTTGTCTTTGTTCGTGTTCGACCGTAAGAACCGCTGACAAAAAGTTAACACGTGCTTTTTTTTTCGGACGGTCAGTTTCCGCAGCCATTCTTGAATGTGACAGCAGTGAATAGAATTTTATTCAGTTTGTTATTCAGTGTGGTGATATTTTAGTGTGTAGTTATGTGGATAGGTTATCATTGAAAATGGGTAAAAAGAAATGTAAGTTGTTCGTTTGTTATTGGTGGTTTTTCAAGGGCATGAATCGTGAATTGTGTATAGGTTATAATCCAGAAATGTGGTTTAATATTCTCTGGGTGTAATTTTCTAGTGGGATGAAAAGGAATGTGTAGCATGACTAAGTTTCGAACATCTGTGAAGCAAGAAATAAGCTTATTGTTTGTTTTCGTATAAAAGAAAATAGGTTAAAAATGGGCCGCGTCTAGTTTGCCGGCACCGGTACCTTGCCGTCACTGTCACCTTGCAAGGGATATGGATGGTGTTGACCATTGTTGTATTTCCTTTATGTAAATCACGATACGAGTATTTCCAGCTAGTATTTATTCATTTATATACACGGGCAAGCCCAATTCAGATATAAGTAGTACAGTGTTATGTAGTACTAGATGCAATACAGTGGATTAAAAGTAAATTATAAGAATAATACATTTTCGAAGTGAGATAAGTATATTATTTAAGAAAATTTGAAATGTATAACAATATGAACTAATATAATTCTTACAGGGAAGTAACACTAGACGCAATACAACCACACAAGCAATTTTTCATTGTTCTTATTTCGATTTTGGCAAAGATATTCAATCTAAAGTGACAAAATTGTGTGTTACTACGAGAAAAGTCTTGAAAAGGTGTAAAAGCGATGCATTTCAAAGACAAAGAAAAAAATTTGCTGTCAAAGTTGAAGAACATTTGAAGCAGGCATAAAAGAACAAACAAATCATCACCAGATTGAAATAAATATTTGAATGAAATGAATTTGTTCTTACTAGATAATCATACTTAGTTTAAAATAATTATTGATTTATTGACCTGTCCTTGCTGCTCATGTTTGTAGAGTTGAACTTTTATACTCTCTACAGACATTCAATATTTGTAAATTACGTGTTATTTATCAATGTCACTATTAGATAGAACGTGTGTCACTGTTTTGTAAATCATTCCTAGTGAAAATCTGACGGTAAACTTGTATTAGTAAGTTTTGATAATAATGTTCATCTAGAGGATACATTTTTGTGTTTCCACTCGAGATATCATTCCACATATGTTAGCTTCTATATTCATTATAGATTGTTAGATTTGAAATTTCTAGGACCAGAAATATTT